ATATTAATAAAGGTTGCTGAAGATACATAAATTCAGTGAAAGTTTTGGAAGTTTTCAAAATTAAAAATTAAAAAAATTCAACATTCATAAGCACATAACTCTAAATTGTATATCTAGATTATCAATCTAGTACTATAAAGTATACTTTTGTAAATACAAAGAAAGAAAACAAATATGTACAGGCTTGTAAACTTAAATTATTATTATTTGAACTGGAATAATATGAATCTTAAGGATGTCCTGATTAAAATCAGCTTCTAATTAACACTACGCATTAGGATCTGACGACCACCAATTGGTTGTCGCCTTCTCATAACCTTTCAAACAGCGAATCATCAGCAAGCTTTTACAATTTTGAAAGCGATATGGTTTCTAATTTTAATGGCTGGAAAACCATTACTGAGTAGGTCATTTTCACAATTTCGAGAACAAACATGGTGTTGTCCAGATAGCCAGCAGGTAAACTGCATGCCCATTATAAATTCAGTCTTAATTTCCAGTTCATTTCACATCACTTCAACAATTTTTTTCTATCAAAAATCAACAATACTTATGTTTACTTTAACAGAAAATGATATTTTGATACTTCGTCTTATAAATCCTATATGTAAAGGACGGTTTGATTTCATTGCTAAAAATAGCTTTCCTGGGAAATCCAAATCACAATGAAGATTAAACAAGTAAGGGGTCAATCAGATCTACATGTAAGAAATAAGTAGAACTTTAGTCAGACTGGAAAAGACCTTTCTATAAAAACTGCATGCTTTCATAAACACTGATTGTCAGAAAATATTATCGCCCATTTTGCATACTTTATCCCGGGATTTAATATTATATACTGTTTTAATACTGTTACAGGCATATTGTTGCCTTTTTGGTTGTTCCTTTTTCTTCTCCCATATGCGTATTTAAATAATATTTTGAAAACATCCCATCACATAAGTATTCATTACACAATTGGTGTAATAATGATGATATTTAACTTGTAAACACTCAAATGTTCCACATACAGAAAATATGGGAACAAGGGGACTCAAAACATACACCATATGGATGTGAATGATTTCTGTTTCATCACTGAGGTAATTTGCCCTGTTACCTATTTGTTGTGATTGTCCACACACACACAAATAATTTGAAACAGTGTATTTTGGTCAAGATATGGGTATTTTACAGTGGATTCTTAACTCAAATAGGTTTGAATGGTTTAATTCACCTCAAAGCTTCCTAAATAAAGGTTAATAATTTGTGCATACTGGCAACACTTCATTCAAATAAATATTTTTTTCTTTAATATTTTTTAATTGGATTTAATTCAGAGATGATTTTTGCATAATTGTATTGACATAAAGCTTGTTTTATTCTTCTGTTGTTTTATTGAAATTTACTGAAAGCCAGTACTCAGGAGCACTTATCACTTTCTCCATCCAGTGAACTTGATTGGCGATAAACCATTAATCTTTAAATGTAAGCAACTTATATTCATCATTACTATAAGCAAAGACTAAAAAGGGAAAATTTCTTCTAAAATTGTATAATACTGAGTTCTGATTTTTTTTTATTCTTTGTACAGAGAATTTGAAATGCCATGCAGTCAGTAAAATAAATTAATTACAAGTGTTTGAAATTGATTACACTTGGTATAAATATTAAAATGAGGAATCAAATTGTCTTCATCTTGAAAACAATGAAAGACAGGCAAAAACACATCAGAATATGTTTTAAAACTGTAAAAATTCTGTAAAATATGAAAAAAGAAAAAGTGTCATAAATATTCTTGTAATTTATGACATCATCAAAGCTTGTGATGACATCATCAAACTTTGTTTATTTTCAGTTAGAATAGTTTAAAATAGCAAAAACTCCTGTTAACAGCATCTTTTATTTCGCTAGACTATTCTAACTTGAAGTTAGCATAGTCTTGCACAAAAGAATATCAAGCTTTTAACTTAAAAGTGATTGTCAAACTATTCTAACTTGAGTTAGAATAGTTTTGCACTGATTATATAATATCACCAGATAGAATATTTTCTTAAAATGTGTAAAACTTAAAAAATTAGTGGGAAATTAATTATGTCTTTTTAACAGAACATGCATTGAAGGAATTTATACAAGAAAATGTCAAAAAACCATTTTCTGAAAAATATTGAGTTAGAATAGTCTTGCGCTGAGCCCTCGAGCTAGAACCCATGGTTTTTGGTTGAAGTGGTGTCATAGTAGGAGTTGAAACCATGGATTCTGGTTGTAGTGGTGTCATAGTAGGGCTTGAACCCATGGTTCCTGGTTATAGTGGTGTCATAGTAAAGCTAGAACCAATGGTTCCTGGTTATAGTGGTGTCATAGTAGGGCTTGAACCCATGGTTCCTGGTTATAGTGGTGTTATAGTTGGGCCTGAACCCATGGTTCCCTCGTAAAAGTGTTGTCATAGTTGGGCCTGAACCCATGGTTCTTGGTTATAGTAGTATCAGAGTTGGACTTGAACCCATGGTCCTTGGTTATAGTGGTGTTATAGTAGGTCATAAACCTATGGTTCCAGGTTATAATGGTGTCATAGTAGGTCATGAACCCATGGTTCCTGGTTATAGTGTCGTCATATACACCTAAAGCACTAGGCTACCTCTCCCCTGTTGCTTCCAGATCTAAATGATAAATCATGGTAATGTTGAAATATCTGATAGTTTTGTTTCAAATTAAAGAAATCCATTAAGGAAAAGACGCATTAAATGAAATATCTAAACAAATGTAAAATATCCTCTATAAAGCACCAACACAGTATACCTTATAACCATTCAGCTATTTTCTTTTAAAGTTCACTTAAAAACATACACCAAACAGGAAGTAGAAAAAAATAATGTAAAGATATACATGTAAAATAAAATTGTACTGAAAAATTAAGATTTATAATTGTGATAATTTAAGACAGTACAGTTCTGTACACAGCATGCCAAAAGAAAATACACGATGTTACACACAGAATAGATTATCATTTCTGCCAATAACATAGCCAGATACACTTTTATCTTTAACACAATTCCTATACTGTAGTGTATACCATGGGACATTATGTGATCTGTGTAGGGAAAGAAAACTTTTTTTTTAATTTCAGTATTTTTTATTGGATAAAGTGTATAGCCAACTCATTCTGATTAGGAACCAATAAAAAGCATGTTTCCTAGAAATTTTTTTTTATCCCATCTACAAAATTCAAACATGGGGTTTTCCTTGTCATTGAAAAATAAATTATTTTCCTAAAAAAAAAAAAAAAAAAAAAAACCCACACATTCTATGTATGTGTTCACTTAACAGAAGGAGAGGGGGTTCAACACTTCTCTGATTGAAAAAAGGTAAATATTTAAGAAAGCAAGAAAATAAAACTGGACCATCTTCTGCATTGGTGTTTTTGCCCCAGGCTTAAATCATAATATGTCATGAGGTATATAGGCATCATGTTCCACTCCTTCAGCTCAAGGGAAAACATGACTGGCCTATATCACCAGTATAAATTGACTAAGTCAGGCAGTAAGTTTCAGCTTTAACTACTACACAGCTTAAAATCTTTAATGAATATTTCCATATTTTTTTTTAATTTAGAACAAAATCATTCATTAACTTTAGTAAAAATTTCAAAATATATACCGACTGAATATTGTTTACCACTAGCAGGCTTTAGGGTTAAACTGCAACTCATATAGCAGATAGTATTACAAACAATAAGCTGCCAGCATTTTAAAACATTTTTTTCTTATTTCTAGGTTAATCCTGTATCTTTCATTCCAAGTTCATAACCTTTAACTTACGATTTCTTGATACTACAATATAGCAAACTATTTTTAATATTAATAGACAAGCCTTTTTAGCAAACAAAGTAAAAAACAAGGCATATTTTACCTAAGAAACTCCTACTTTCTATTTATTTAACCCTTCTGAATACTCAAAGAACAATAATACCTTGCCATCACCATCTGAATAAAGCCACCCCAGGCTGAACAATATTGTTTGATTTAACATCACACCAAAACAGTATAGGTCATATCTCATATGGTGACTCTCCAGGTTTACTGGTGGAGGAAGACCTCGGGTGCCATCTTTTAATTATTTCAGGCACAAACAGTCATGGGAGTAGAATCAACAAAGTTCTATAAGTTAGCTGGATAGCTTTCTCCAAAGACCCTCGGGCAGCTCGAAACTACAGCGGTGAGAGGCAAGTGGTTTGAAGTAAGCAACCTTAACCAATCTCTATACTAACTCGTACATGTACTGACAGCTGGCTAAATTTTAGGATTTTTAATCCCTTAAAGTCATTTCGCTCTCACCACTTATTCAAATATCATGTGGGATTAGTAGCTGCTCACTTGCAGAGAAATTGCAATTACTGGTTAGTTATCCAGGAAAGCCAGTTTGGTAATTGAGAACAATGACATGACCAAACCTGTGTTAAATCTGAGTAAAACCTCGGGGAAAACTAAACAAGAACCCTTAAATTGTACAAAGGACTTTCTCTAATTTGCTTTTTGGAACATCCCAGGGACATATCAGCTGCGTCACGACAAAACCAACATAGTGCGTTTGCAACCAGCATGGATCCAGACCAGCCTGCGCATCCGCATAGTCTGATCAGGATCCATGCTGTTCGCTTACCAACTCTATTACAAGTGAAGAAACTGATAGCGAACAGCATGGATCCTGATCAAACTGCGCGGATGCGCAGGCTGGTCTGGATCCATGTTGGTTGCAAAGGCACTATGTTGGTTTTGTCGTGACGCGGCTCATATTATCAATAAGCTCAAAAACTCAGCAGGAAATAAGAAAGAATCTGGTCAAACAACAATTATGTGCCGACTGGCTCTTTTATAATATAACAGTGGCAATCTGTAAGTCATTATTAACGCAAGCATTCAAAAAACTGAGAAATATACTAAAATAGTTTTACAATGGACTTTCTCTGTGTCTCTACTAATATATACCCATCTACCTGGCTATGTTTTTCAGGCAATACTCACTTTTTCTACCGGCATGCTTCTGAAACACTGCATTATCATGCAACAACGAAAATAAAAATAAAAATAAACAAAAATACAAAAATAAACTAAAACATAATATTTCTTAATTACTATCTATATGCAGGATAAAAGCATGAACTAAAAAGATGCATAACATTAATATATCCATGGTAACATAAAAATAAACTCTGGGCAAAAATGATACAAAAACAAACAATTAATAATATCAACAAAATAATACCACACTGTTTTCAGGAGTTTCCATACAGACATAATTATAGGCAGAATTAAAACTGTTCAATAGAATTTCTTAAACTTGGCATACAGAACAGTTTCAATGATGCCTACATGTCTATATGAAAACTCCTGGAAACGTCTTTAATACATAGGTAATAATCAGGTTTCAATATCAGAAATGAAGCATTTAATTTTTATGAGGACAAATAGAGTTTAACCCAATAAAACTGAAAAAACGCAGTCTTGTTAACTTTTTTTAGATTACTATTTTATCAGGCCCTCACAAATAATCAGGTATATAATAATCTTTAAGATAAGCCTGAATTTTTACATGGACTAAATATTAACACAGAACACCAAGAGTCAAAATATCTGGGATTCTTGCAAAAACGACAAAAAGGAGGGGGGGGGGGGGGGGGAAGTGAAACAATATCATTAGGAAGCCAAATAAGTCTTACTTTTTCCTGCGTAACTAGGAGGTCTTAATCCCGATTTTTTCGTGGACCTCTGCTGTTGCTGAGATGGCGTTGGCAGACCTGACGAGGGTGTTGGTGTAGGAAGAGATGAAGGCTTAGCTGCCGGCGTGGCAGGGGTAGAAGGCGGTGCTCCACCATCGTCAATTGCTGTAATCTGAGACTGACGTACAAAAATTCCATGATTTTCTGGACAGGTGAAATAAGTCTTGCCTTGAACTGTACCATCATTCTTTCCTTTTGCATCATCCAGAACAACTCCTATCCATTTACCTTAATATAAAAATTCTAGTTGCCAATAAAAATATAAATACCCACGTTACAAAAACACCTTTTATATTGTTTAAGCAGATTCAATACAATATAATTTATATAAATACAATGTGAGCAGATTGTCCCCCTACTTAGCTCAATAGGGAGAGTATCAGACTGAAAATCTAGAGGTCAATGGTTCCATCATAGGACAAGACTTAATTTTTCCATGATAACTGATCTCTGACATAGAGTCTAATGGTCATTTGTCTCTCATCACTGATTCAGAAATCATGTGGGATAAGTTTTGTTTGTTTGTTTTGGGTTTTACGTCACATCGACACAGTATAGGTCATATCGCGACGTTCCAGCTTTACTGGTGGAGGAAGACCTCATGTGGGATAAGTAGTCTGGCACTTGTGGAGAAACTGGTTATTACTGGTTAGTAATCCAGCAAAGCAGACTGACAGCAAAGATAAGACCAAACACACATGTTAAAATCTACAAATTAAACAGATTGCTGTTATCTGTGGTGACCTGACTGACTGAGTTTGTATTTCATAACTTATCCTGGCCAGCTTCATCAAAATTGATAACAATAATGGAGTTGGCTTCAGTCAGTAATCGAAAATAAATCAAATGTATTTATCACAAGGTATAACTAATGTTGATATCACTGCTACAGTGCTAGTTATGCTGAATAAGTTAAGACACGGTGTTATTATTATTCAACACTAAGCGTCAATTATAAATCTATTTACTACTTTAATATAGATATACCTGTGGAAAACATGGTTGTTCCGATGTAGGCAACCGTTCCTATCACTCCCTTCCCAATTACCTCAACTCTCGTCCCCATCTTTATGGGCTTTTGTTCAGCCATGACTTTACTGAATTGGATCTGAAATGAAATTTGAAGTTATTTGTATACAAAGATCCTTCCTAAATTTTACAAGCACATGCAGTCAGTATTTTTTTTTCTCCTTATATAACTGATACCAGAAAACGGCACCATTCCAATAGAAAATATACAGCAAATTTCTCAATTCATAACTGATAAATTCCCAAAATAAAACTGACAATTTCCTCAAAAATCGGCAAATTTAAAGATAAACAAAGACAGTAATGGATGCTATTTGATAAATGATATACAATAAAAACCAAGTATAACCACATGAGTAATATTCTTACCCAGTTCATTTCTTACTTTTAAAGTTTCACAATTTATGATTATCAATTATTACAAATGTTATGATTATCAATTTTTTTTTCAGCCTCAGGTAGAAAAAATAATCATAAAAGTTAATAATACATGGTTTTAAAGTGTATATTATGCAAAATTTTCATGTCTCCCTGGATTTTGCATCCAATATAAAATTCCCAATTTGAGTCAAACCGATGGATTTTTTCCCAATCTGTCCAGTATAGGCACCATTCCCAAACTAGGGGGAAAAAACACTGGCCTGGGACATGATATAACAGGACAAGCGCCTGAAGATTAGTGCCGCATTATCTTTTCGACCAGTCAGTTGCATGCGCCATCATTTTATATTAATGCTTGTTGAAGGGTATATCTTTTGTCTGTAGTATTCAGAATAAAGCTTGTCTTGTTAAAACATGCACAAAATGCAGAACAAGTAATGATAGCATGCAGGACGAGTATAAATTAGAAGCTACTCATCCTGCAGGACCAGTGGCTCTAAAAAAATTTTTTTATCCCTGTATGTCACAAGTGACGAAACATGGGTTCATTTTTATGAGTCAATAAAACTCCAAAACAAGATTTGGGCTACAAAGATCTTGCAAAAGACCATCCATTGCAAAATGATTTGGGCAGAAAGACCATCCATTGCAAAAAAGACCGTCAGTATAAAGATGTAGTCCTTCATTGAAAGACATTGCATTTTCTTTTTTTTACAGTTTTCCCTTTTTGGAAAATGGGAAGTCTTTCCCTAATTGGCCAATTTCCTATAGCACGAATCGACACGTTTTTTGAGTCAATTTGAATTTACCTGTAAATCACAACTTAAATGTTATTTATCAGAAAAAAAACTGATTGCATAAAAAATGGGAGCATATTTTCTCAAAAACTGTATAAATATGAAAAAATTAATCACAATAAGTAGCTTATTTATTCATATATTTAACAGTTTAAGAAGACACAAGAAAGACAAATCCGGGTCAGCTCGGCCCTAAAACGTACTCGGCCCTATTCCAACTCGGCACAGGTCAACTCGGCCCACTTTTCAATTATTAATATTTAGGTTTGTGTTATCACTATTTATTGTAATTATTGTAATTATTTATAATACACAGATTGACAGTTTCTGAACTAGCAGGCTTTTCTTATTAGTAGAATTGCGAGTAAAGATAACTGATTGCGTACATGTATCTCACTGTATTTCTGACTCGTGGTAGATTTAATTGTAAATTTAAATACCTTCAGTGTCAAACAATGTGTTGAAATATATACTTAGAGGAGGCTAAGATCACCAGCTTTTAATTGGTGTAATACATTTTAAAGTCGGACATTCAATCGCACCCAACTAGCGATTTAAACACAGCTAAATTTGCATTCTTTTGCAAGCGAAGGGAAACTAAGGGAAACAACTCTTGTTTTTTCACTTGATATACCTCGGTTATTTACGTAGTTCATAAAGAGACTGTCAATTTTTATTAGGTCTATAGAAATTTTATCGAATCTGCAAAACATATAAATAACAATTTTTTTCTAAATATACTTTATTTCGACAGAAGTACAATGTATAATTACATAATATCAAGATATTTCTTATTATTCATTTACCTTAACAACATGCAAAGCAAAATTAATACGTTATATATATTTTTGTAAAGTGGGCCGAGTTGACCCGTGCCGAGTTGGTATAGGGCCGAGTTGACTCTTTTCCAAGAAAGACATTTTGTGTTGGACCCCCATATAATTTGGAGAATCCCAGTCACACTCTGACTTCACTCAAAAACAATAATTATATAGAGGATATTTGTTTGTTTGTGTGTAAGATGAAATTTTATTTCATCGAGTGGGCTTTAAAAACAGTATTCTCACGAGTGGCGTAGCCACGAGTGAGAATACTGTTTTTAAAGTTCACGAGATGAAATAAAATTACATCTTACACAACAAACAGACAAATTTTCTTTTTATTTTATGCTTTAAAACAAGTTAAAACGAAATTTCCATAATTTTAACGTTAATATTAAAATCTGTTTCCCCCATTGAGAGCCCCATTCAGAGGGAAATTTCTCATTAAAAAAAAGAAGTCTTGAGCTGAGAAATAAGTCCGCCAATCAAGGTTAAATGACGGTGATATTTATTCATTTTATTAAAAAAATATGAATGATCGCTTGTTTTAATAATAAAAACAAACAATTCTTGTAGGAGAAAAAGTCCAACCATCCATCCATATTTCTGTTACTTACTGCGAATTTATATTAGACCTGGCTTTGTAAAATGTAAGTGGCAGCCATTTTTTAAAGTTTTGTATTTCATGGGAGGAAAATAATTGTGTAAGATTCAGAAGGATATAATTTGGATTTGTTAGTCATACACCTTTTTAAAAGAAAGAAAACTTATTTGAGGATTGTAACAGACAAAAAATAAGTGTTGACAGAAGTGAAAACATTCAGAAAAGGAGCTAGGAAAATGGAAAACTTGGAAGCTTGCTAAGGCATTGTAACTTGTAAGGAATGCTGGGTTTTTTTACTTATTTTACGAGTGATGGCTGTCAATGCTTTTCAATTTTTCATAAAGCATACGGCAGTTATTGCTCGTAGGATACTTATATTATGCCCAAATGTCATCAAGAGCAGTTAGCATGGGGAAGAAATGTATTTTTCAGACTGTAAAAACGAAACAAAAAAATTTAGAGACGAAATTTTGTGATTGGAATTTGAAGGAATAGAAGTAAGTTTTCTCTCTTTATTACTTTTGACATTTAAGTTATTTATCTATTTCAGCTTTGCTATTTTTTTTTAACAGCCTGATATTGTCAGTAAAAATAAAATTGAGGTACCACATGGGGAAAATCTTAAAAAAGTAGTTTTGTCATTGAAAAAAGTGAAATTATATTTTGATAATTTTCACTGTGAAATTATCAAATATAATTTTCACGGATAAAACAGTAATCCACTGAAAAGCATAAAATAAAAAAGGGGAAATGAGTCTAAACAATTTTTTTCTGTTGTGATTTTAGGCGCTGACAGATACAGACATAGTCCTATAAATATGACATCACTTTGAGATATTTTTGCTTCTGGGCAAAGCAATGTCATATCGAAATTGCTCAAAAACCCATAGCATGTTCCGCCAGAAAATCGGTCGGAACGAAAAACAATGATTGAATGAAGACACAGTGATTTTTCTCACTTAATTGGGAAAAGGCCTTAGCCTCTTGATTTTGGGAAAAATTATCGCTAAAATTGCTTAATTGGGAAGAAAAAAGAAGGTTTAAGTTCAGATTTTTGGGAAAACTGCATGATTTTAAAGAAAATTTCAATTGGGAAGAGGCCCTTTTTCGGAGTCTGTTATATAAGTAGGAAAATCACTGAGACAGTGTGTATTTACATAAGTTTTGACCTATTTATGAACAAAACTAAAAAATAAATACCTTTTGTCACAATAATTAAACTGTCACATCCGAAAAATCATGATTAAATCATCTCATGTATCTTTAAATTCCTTTTACAGCCGATAAACAAATGGCAGCCATAAAGTGTGCGAAATCTGATTGGCTAATTCAAATGCAAGCGTTTAACTGAGTCAGAATAATCTAACGGAATATTTTTTTAACGAAATTATAATTGCCCATGCACCGTCAGTGTGTTCGAATATATTTTTCCATTCAAAAATTTGGAATCAATCTGTAAAGCACCTTGCTTAACCAGTATGGCTGATAGACAAAAATAGATTGATGTTTATATCTTATTTTAAATTGATAAGTACATTGTTTGTGAGTTTTTGCGTATGTTGAGCATGAAATTGAAAGAAAAGAAGATAAGCAATTGAATAAAGATTGAAAGGCAAGACAATAGACATTTTTTGAATTTTCTATGATGCTATGCGTTTTTGAGCAATAACTATTAGATGTCAGGCTTGACCGACATAAACTATAACAAGCCTGTAACGTCTAATATATTGGACGATCGGAAAAGAGTCAACTCGGCCCTATACCAACTCGGCCCGGGTCAACTCGGCACGGGTCAACTCGGCCCACTTTACAAAAATATATATAACGTATTAACTTTGCTTTGCATGTTGTTAAGGTAAATGAATAATGAGAAATATTTTATTATTATATAATTTTACATTGTAGATCTACTTCTACGGAATTAAATATATTTAGGAAAAAAAGTTATTTTATTTGTCTTGCAGATTCGATAAAATTAATATAGATCTAATGAAAATGTGTTTCCTTAGATGCATTTTGTTTGTATTAAAAATACTATTCAAAAAATAAGAAACAAAAACGTGTTTACTTAATATCATAAGCTTCTAATTAATTGCAGGTGGTCACTAATCAAATTTGAATGAATGAGTTAGTTGGACACTGAAGGTATTCAAATTTACGGTTAAACCTACCACGAGTCAGAAATACAGTGAGATACGCAATCGGTTATCTTTACTCACTATTCTACTGATAAGAAAGCCTGTCTGCTGCTAGTTCGGAAACTGTCAATCCATGTATTATAAATAATTACAATAATTACGATAAATACCTAAATATTATTTATTGGAAAGTGGGCCGAGTTGACCCGTGCCGAGTTGGAATAGGGCCGAGCTGACTCGGGGGCCGAGTACGTTTTAGGGCCGAGCTGACCCGGATTCTTGGACTAATACAGACAGATATGCTCTTTTCTTTACAACTCAGGGTCCCTCCATTCTGAGGCAAAACTGTCTATGTGAAAATTTACAAGACAGAAGATCCTCAAAAACTTAACTTTTCATGGAACAAAATTAACAAGAACTTTTTTCAATGAGCCGGCCCGTATCACTGTGGCAGTGTGGCCACTGTGGGCAAATTTATCCAAACTCTGTTGTTTGAAACTGACAAATACCCCCAAGCAGGAGCTCGCTTTTAGGCTTTGCAAATATGTATTAAAAACACATTTTTATAAAATCAATACAGTAATGTTGAGAAGTTGCGTAATACAGTCAATTACAGATAGTTCTACCTTTTTATTTTATCTCATTACAAATGTCAATTTCAGCAGAGCCGCTTATAACACGAACAATTTGTGCGATGACTAATTCCTTTCAAAAACCGTACCATACCGTGAATAATTTGCAAAACGGCCTACTGGTTATTCGCTATAAAATAAAACGCCTCAATTTAGTGACGATTCGGCCCAGATTAGTGATGATTCGCCCCACTTCATTTAAAATGTATATTATTACACGAGAGACATATTTGAATTAGTGGCAACGGCGACGCCTTTTTATATAAATAAAATAGAAAAAATAAGAACCCCTAATAAGAAAGTCCAAAACGGCAAAATTGAAAGTGTTGCAGGCTCGGTTTGATTTAGCCAGTTCATGGACGGTACTATTAAACTACCGTCCACGCCCCCTAGCACCGGCTTAAGCAGAATTTAACATTTAAACATGAAAATTTTACTAGAATCCTTAGTAGAATCCTTCAAAATATCAACCATATGGACCTCTACACACTTTTCCAGCCTCAAAATATATTCCGATAAAGCATTTTCGAACTGGGAATACTGTTTAGATTTGATGTATGGATTGAACCAAAAGCCACAACGAGAGAGGTCATGACTATAGATAAGCTTAACCTCAATTATCTGCTCCTCCAAATAAGCTTGAACCATTTTTAAGGCTGGTGCGCAGGTGCATAATTATTGAGTAATTTGATCCTGCGCATCCGACCTTGGATTCTTTGTAATGTAGTGATTAAATACAGCAGTGCACGTGAGAACTTTGTAAAATGTTCCAGTGACACTGCCCTCTCAGGCACGGCGACACGGCCACTATTCCATCACTGTCATAAAAATAGTGCGTACATATCTCTCTTTTAACGCTCCTGCTAAGTCGAGCAACAACTCGGCGATCGCTTTTTCTCCAACCCACATTTTGTTGAGTTTATTGTCGAGCTCAAAAAAATAAACTTTTTTTTTAAAAGCCTGTGACAATTTCTCTAAGGCACCTGGCTCGGTCTTTGAACATAGTCAATGATGCCGACGCTTTTTCAACCCTTTTCTGGTCAGAGGTTAGCAAATGCGGGATCCATCGCGCGCACACTTTCCTTAACTTTTACTTTTCTTTGAAAATAGAAAACACATATGACCCACTAAGGCCCGATGTGTCACTTAATTTATCTACTGCACGGTATATATTGCATCTTCATTAACTATGGCTTTGACAGTGCTGATGTCTTTTTCAGAGGTAGCGGAAAATAGCCACCAGTGGCGGGATCATCCTTAGCATAAGTTCTACCATCGTCGGTTACCCAGGGTATATATTCCGTACATACTACATATCTAGATCTAGATATTAATTGTAGTATGTACGGAATATATACCGTGGGAAACCGACGATGAAGTTATACCTTCCTCAAACAATTACACCTACAGGGCTATACATTGTAATTGTACGATGTGGAGAGACATTTTCTCCATAAATTAAATCTAAATCGGTTTTAATTAATTTCTGACTCGCATTTACCTAATAACCCACGAATTTTGCAATAAGTTCTTTTCTCCTCTCTTAAATCACAATGCAACTCAGCCATGTTTACAACCACATGCATTTCAATGGCCTGCTTAAATTTAAGTGCACGTGCAAATCGTGCGAAAATAGAATGTTGGTTAAAAAATCAATAATCTTTCCAACTATATATTAAAACATTACATGTACTTTCACGTGCAAATCATGGTTAAAATGAGTTGTTGCCACTAATTAAAATAATGTAATATTATACTTTTTTCATGTATATTTATTATGTTACTGTTTATATAAATGTATAAGCCTATTATCTAATTGTTTATTACTACACTCTAAACCGCTGTTTTAAATACTGAACACACACACACACATACACACACACGCACGCACGCACGCACACGCACACGCAAACACACACAAGAAAAGAAAATTACCCTGTGTTTAATCGGAAATATAGTGTTATTTAAAAAATCAAAATGTCAAATGAGCTACATATATTCGGGCGTACGATTATGTGTTCGATAAAACAAGTTTCAATTTTGCCGTGTTGGGCTTTCTTTGGGGATTCTGTATTTATCTTTTTTTATATCGATTTTAACTTTTGCAGGTTTTACAGAAAAACCCGCTGAACGCGATTTTCACGTGCACGCCCTAACCAGTAGATTCGTAGACCAGTAGAATATCGTCTGAAACATACTGCGCATGATCTATATTGAACACAAAAAGACCCCCCTTGCGCCTTTAAGCGGAGGTTATAGACCTTTTTACGACGCGGTCCGTTGCTATGAATAATCGACCGAAATTAGAATTTTCTCGCGCAATGGCAATCTGCGTTGGGCACAATATTTATCGCCCTACATAGAAATATAGTAGAAGTTCATAGACAATTCCGAGTTAGTTCAAGGTAAACGGTAGAAAAGATGACTTTATAGCTTTGTGGCGAAGAATGCCATAAAAAGGCATGGAAAAGATGCTTTAAGAATTTACGATCACGGATCTGACACTGAGATCATTTTTTAAAGAAGATGTGGAAATATGTATATTAGCAAATGAAAAGTCAACTTATTTGCTGTTGAAATAGTTCATTTAAAAACAAAAGAAATTTTATAATATGAAATCGAGATTAATTATCATTCTGAAAAAAATATCAGAACAGGTGATAATGCATTTTTAGTGTTCAATATACCTGATTATATCCTATATCCGATTTGCCTGTGATGCAAACAGAAAAATGTAAGTCACATAAATAGATTTCAAATAATAAATTATTTTTTTTTTTCAAAATCTTGAGAAGTTAAGATGGGTTGTTGGAAGTGATATAACACACATTTTATCCGCTTACTTTTTAATAATGCACGTCACACAATTTTTCTCTTCTCAAAATCCATAAACATTTATCGGTATATTTAAATGTTATATAATTAATTTAATAAGCTATTCAGAGGAGGAAATATTTGATAACATCAAAGTAAATGAAATGGTTGACAGATTCGCACAAATAATAAACGAAGAGGCAAAGCCATTGTTTCACAAGGAATTAACCATGCGAAAACAAAATATACAATTTGATACTACAAAAGTGATGAAAAAATCAGATTGGTTTGATTACTCGTGCAGAGAAAGAAAGTTAGAGTATTTGGAAGCATTACGATTATTTAATGAAGTGAAGACAAATGAAAATAGACACCAGTTAATGTTAAAAAAGAGACAATATAAATCTTTGATAAAAGTAAAGCGCAATAGGAGTAAACTTATAAAGATGCGAGAAAATTGAAGCACTTAAAAGTAAAAAGCCGTGCGATTTCTGGAAATATTTTTCAAAGAAAAAAACACAAACTGAACGAAAATATCTGTGCAAGAATTCTATGACTATTTTTAGGAATTTATCAGATAGCATTTAACACTACTACTGATCCAGAAAGCGAGAATTACTGCAATAACCAATATTGTTATGATGACCCTATTTTCGCGGAATTAGATTCTGTAATTACAATTGATGAAGTGCGACATGCAATTAGTTGTTTGAAACGAGGCAAGGCAGGTGGGAGTGATGACCTCATAAATGAATATTTTATTGAAACATGTGACATCATATGCGGGCATCTACGGGATATTTTCAATGTTATACTATCGACTGGACATTTTCCAAATGCATGGATGGAAGGAATCATTATACCAGTGTTTAACAAGAAAATCATTGATGCAAAGCATCAAAGGGCGACGCCAAAAGAATTTGATCCAGATTTGCACCTAAATACTTAACAAAAGATGTGTACTTTATAGCAGTACCATTACATGTGACCTGGAGGCTAGGGCCAGTTTAAGTTGAAACTTAAACCAAAGAAGAATAGACTCTGTCTTGCCAAGATGCAAAGACAATTTATAGTCAATTAAGCAATCTTATAAGACTTATGCTATAAGAAAGAATTTCTTCAGATTTATTTATGAGACACAAGGATTCCTGAGTCATCAGCATATAATCACTGGCACGAGTATCGTACCTGGGAAGAAAAAATATGACACCAGATGACCAGATTGATAAAAAAAACTGTGTTTATAAAAACCAAAACAAAAAATGTAAATAATGATCCCCTTTAAAAAATATACTATCAACTTGAAGTATATTTTTTTAAAAGGGGTCATTATTTACATTTTATTTTGGTTGTTGACACTTTTAAAGATGAACACAGGTTTTTTTTATCAAATCTGGCCATATTTTTTCTTCCAAAGGTCTGATACTCGTGCCTGTGCATTATAATATAAAGCTTATTGCTTAGGGGTTGAAGACATGTAATTGACATATATTAGACATAAAAGAGGACC